TAACACATATACTTTGCATGTGTTCATCGGGAAGATTATGAAACAAAATGGACGGTGTGTACCACGTGACTTTCGTAAACCAAGGAGCGGAATGTCGCAACTCTTTATATATATGGCTCTGTGCCATAGAGCTATTAAACAACTAGAGTGCTGACAAGATGGCGGAACAATGCAGAGTTGTGTATGTGTACCATCCAAGATGGCTGCCGTAGGAAAGCGCCACCTTCAGGCTTAGTATGCATATTATTACCATAAATAAGCCCTCTGACTGAATATTATTTCATTAATGATAATTTGTATTGATAATGACAAATTATTAAACTGTCGTAGCCAAAACGAGGCCAAGTGGAGCATCTTAAAAAAAAAAAAGTACCAAGTAATGAAAATTAAAATCGTGTGCATTACACCGAAACACCGCAACGCTCGAGTTTCAAACATAGCTGTACTGAACTTTCTGTGTAAATTGAGGGCGCCATTGAAAATGATAGTGCTCAGGCGAAATTTGATTGGCTGAATATATGGCAGCCATCTTGGATGGTACACACACACAGCTCTGCGTATTTCGAACATCGAATACATTGCGGTTAGCGCTCTAGTATTCTTATTATATCTCTATGCTCTGTGCAGAGTACATTCAGGACGCCCTCTCTTGATTGTTACCAGGACTTAGCCTCCTTCTTGAACTGATTCAGTTGCATGCGTGTAAAATAAATAAAATTATCTAGGCCTAAGGCCTAGGCCTAGGCCTACAATAATCAATTCACGGTTCCAGGAAGAAGGTACAGATCAGTAACAGAAACAAATAGAGCCTAGGCCTAGCTGAGCATTTTAACACTGGCGAATTTAATTATGGCAGACTGTGGTAAGTGTACTAAACAATGTCATGAAGAACAGGTTAAAAATAGTTTATTTAACTTTGTGAAAAACGAAGACACTGACAATTTCAAAGCCTAAGGAGTGTTTTCCTCTGCCTCAGTTACAGTGAGTGAAGGCAAACACACACACAGCAGCAGAGTCTGGCGAACTCTACAGACGGCAGTGGTGACAGTGTTGCTGCTGGCTATATACAGATAAATCAACTAGAGTTGTGTCGCTTTTTGTTGATAAACGGTGCCTCCCCTAATGTGGGTAATCAAGAATGGCAATTGTATCCATTACATTATGCTGCAGCACCAGAAGTTGATGTGGCAATAGTGGAACTGCTCATAGAATATGGAGCTAACCCAAATGTAACAAAGTATTTGAAACACCTCTTCATGATGTATGTGAATATTATCAGCCGGAGAAAACAAAGATTTTGTTGGCAGCTGAAGCGGATGTGAATGCTTTAGATCAATTAGAAAACACAGCACTTCACAATGCCACAAAGACAGTTGTTAGAGAAGGTAGTCATGTTACTTTAAAACCTGAAGATGTTTGTGAATGTGTCGCCATAGTTAAACTATTGGTCGAAGCCGGTGCTGACCTTAATGCAAAAAGAAAAGATGACGTCACTGCTTTGCACAATTCAGCTCTTAATTGTTGTGCTCGAGCAGTAACTTATCTGCTGGATAATGGTGCATTTGTGAACATAGAAGATTCGCATGAAACACCACTCAACCATTTATTTTTACAATGTCATATGCATGCGAATTTCTTCAGGGATAAAGCAATTCCCAGAGATTTTATTAATATTAGTGAAACAGAAAAAGCTCTTGTTATACTGTTAGACAAAGGGGGTAATATCAATCATATGAATGCATTTGGGGCCAGTGTGTTACATAAAGTGTGTATTATACCACAATGGAAATTGTCGACCTGATCATTAAATATGGGGCGGATTTAAGCATGAAAGATAACTTGGGAAAAACAGCACTTCATACATGCATAATGAACAGTCTCACTTCTTCAGAGGAACAGCTTACTCAAATGCTACAGATATCACTGATCAAACATTGAGTCTCTGTTGATGAAATGGACATAAATGGTTCCACACCTTTACACTATGCCATAAACGTGCCTTCATGTCATATGATGAAAATGCTGATTGAAGAGGACGCTAGTGTGAATGCACCAAATAAAAGTGGAACTGTACCTATCCACATTGCCATGACATGGAATGATGAAGATATGAGTTTCTTTGACTTGCTACATAAAAGTGGAGCAGATATTGAAGCGACCGACTTTAATGGATCTACCGTAGCACACTATGCCGCTTGGTATCCAGCCGGAGGATATCCTTACTGTGTAGAATTCCTGCGAAACTTGGTTAACCTTAAGCGAAAGGACATGCAAGGAAATACTGCTGTTAGTCTTGCAAAATTTATTGGTAACCATCAGTTTGTTGAGCTGTTGGAATGTGATGATGAGAGTGCAGATGATAGTAGCAGTAGTGAGGGACAGCCTTCCGAAATGAATGAGGAAATTGAGAAGAGCAATGGAAGTGATCAAGAGAATACTTCACTAGAAGAGGATGAAGCTGATGACAGCGACATAGATATTGATCTATTCACACCAATCAAAGAGGAGGAAATTCCACAATTCATAGAACAGTTTAAATTGTTTAATGGAAATACTCTCAATCGTGTCATAGAAAACCCATATTTTGATAAAATTGCATATTCACGAGAAGTCCACTATATCCAGAATTCTACAGTGTATAGATGAACTTGTCAGACAGATTTTGAAGAAAATTGCAGATATTGATCCTAGATTTGAAGCCTCTGCAGTTTTGTCTGGAAGTGTGAGTGAAGGCACTAAGATATTTCTTCCTAATGAATTTGACTACTGTATATCTGCTGTCTACACAAGTTTGATAGCATCACCACTGTTGATGAAACAGATCCAAATAGACCAGCCTGTTTTGCATCCCTCATCATGAATACTCAAAATTCTAGTAGCCAGCACTCAGAATTTGCTGAATTTTTCAACGATTCATTTTTTACAACAGACCCACACAACAAAATTTTCCACGAATCCTATTATATGATGAACTAAAGGTGGAAAAATGTAGAATACATTGCTTGTCTGTGAAGTGGACGGGATGGCTGATGAAAGACATGGTGATATCGATTGATTTTGTTCCCACTATTCCAAAAAGAAACTGGTGGCCATCACAAATTCCAGATTAACAACAGACAAACATGTCTCATCTTGGATGCTTGCTAATAACTAAATCTGACAAATCAGAAAAGTTTCAGTTTGTGCCTGCCCACAAGATGACACCATTTCTGCGTGTTTCATTTTCTGAAGTTGAGACGTTCCTGATCAGAAAGCAGAGTGACCAAGTAAAGCAAGGATACAAGCTCGCCAAAAATATGATCGACCTGGTTCCTCCGCTACGAATTAGCGATGATGATGAATATAAGGATCTGAAACGTTCAGCGAGTGAACTGATTTCAAGTTACATGCTGAAAACCTGCCTCTTATATCTTCTTGACAATGACATGAGTGGTGATGATAGAGAAAAACTAACCAGTGGAGAACAAATTAGAGCATGGGCATTTGCCATTTTTAAGCAGTTTGAAAAGTTTTTAACAGATAAGCAAGGCACAGTTCCATCATTCTTTGTTCCAGAATATAATCTCATATCACTTTAAGACTTTTCTTCTCATGGAATGAATGATCGTAAACATCTTCAGTTTTGCAAGATGATCATAGCAATATTGGATCCAAAACAAGCAATGGACAAAATATGAATTTAATATAATATGAAATATTGATGCGGGAATTAAAAAAAAATAATTTTTTTGTCGCATCTATTATTTCAACACCATAAAAATAACAATGCAATTTTGTGACTTCAAATACATTTTCTTTAAAAAACTATAAAATTAAACCACTTTTTATACAATATTTACTATTACTAGCCAAATATAAACAGTACCTCCCTCATCGATAAAAACAGAAGCGAAATAATCTATTGTACCGATTAAAAAAAAAAACACAAAAAAAACGCCCTCTCTCATCAATTTTTGTTTAAAAAGAGTGATAATCTAATAATTTTTTCTATATGCCCTTACCATGCTACTGTATAGACGACTTGTGCTAATGCATAAATAACCATTAAAACTTCAATCTTGTTATACTTACGATTTAAGTGATTAAGATTACCGCTAATCAAAGTAAATATGTGCCCCAATTTGGAATTTGTTAAAAAGACCTCCGAAAATCCAACACACCACAGTTAGCGATAATACAGCGCCTGCAGGCATCCATCGCACAATAAATCTTCCTTCACAGCGTGTCAACACTGTGACCTTTTAAAGCAAAACCTCTAGCCACGCTGTCGGAGATTTATCATTTCTTTCTAACACACTATCAAAAGGAAAAAAAAGATGAACATTTGCTTGACGAAGGAAGCAACTTTTTTTTATAAGTGTTTTGGAGTTCAGTGAAAATCCAAGAGGGATTTGATGGAACAAGAAAGAAGTCTGCAATGTACTGGAAGATTGCTGTGAAGGTAAAGGAAATGAGGATCAAATTCGAGTCGAGACAGGTAATAAACAAATTACAAATTTTTGCATTTTCATACGTTTGACATTTATTTACTTATTCAATTTATATATTTATAACAGTTACCGGTATTGATTCATAAGTTATTTTATGGACTATTCAAAAATTGATGTCTCATGTGCAATAGCAGTGTTTATATAATTGATTGGAGTGTTTGTTTTGAAACTGATGAGGTAAACTTTACATAGGAATGTTTTAAAAATAACGCCTGTATTCTGAAAACAAACTTTAGTCGAATTTCGAACTAAAACTTCATTTAGTGCTAGTTGCAACTTCAACTGAAATTTGTATTCACAAACAACGTAGTCAAAGTTTTAACTACGACTAAATTAAGTCCTAGTTTTAGTTCAACTGAAGACGACTGGCAAGCCACGACTATCAAACTAACCAATAAAAAGAGCTAACTTATTTCATTTTAATCATTTATTTCAAAATCAACTCAACATACAATTAAAGAAAATAAACATTACGTATTATAACATACAGTCGAAATAATTAAGTTATGTCAATTAAGTAAAACAAATCAAATATCAGAGTATGTATCATTGAAAATGAAAAGGGATAAGCAAAATAGGCAAATGAACAACAAATGCCTTAAATCATGCTCTCCTTAATAAAAATAAAAGAAAGATAATAAAAAATAAAAAAAAATATATATATAAAATAAAATTTGAAGTAGTTGCATGATTAATTAAAGTTATTGTAGAAATAAATAATTACATTATTGTTCCATTATTAGAGTACTATTGTTATTATTGCAATGAGGTGTCTACTATTTTAGCACAATATATTCATTTTATATTTTTTCTTCTTTTTTCCTTCTTTCTTCTTTCTTCTTTCTATTTCTTTTTCCTTATTTGTAATAATTGTTTATATTTACAACATAAGTTCAACTAATTTTAGAGATCTGGTAACGCGGATGAATATTAAGCTGCCGTCTGTGGTTCAAAAACGTATTTCCTCATAATTCATAATAGAACATCATTTGCTTAATTAATTTTCTATAATAATAACTATATTAGTTGTTAACATATTACGATAAAGAATTTGAACAGTCACTGAAAATTTGCTTTCTTTGGAGAGCTATTATAGTTGAGCCCGAGCGAGGGCGGCGCCATCTTTGTTGTTGTTATGGTGAAGCCAGGTGGTTGCAGCGTACAAATCAGAAACTATCACATGTGGCTAGGAAAACATGTCAATTTCTCCTTTTGGAAGCTAAACTTGATGTCTCTTTTGTTTAACACACCGAAGATATATCAAACCTGCATATACAATCATTTTTATTCGTTTCACCTTATCGTGAACAACACGTTTTTAGTGGGGTAAATATTTCAAGTCGGCATTTTAGCCTGTCCCTAGTCTGATTAAAAAAATCGGCCTGCGGAGGTATCATTTTAGTCAAGGTTAGCGTCATTTAGTCGTAGTGCTAGTCGGAGTTCGTTTTAAGAATACGAAATGACGTAATTTTTAAGTTTTAGCTCGAACTACGACTAAAGTTTGTTTTAATAATACCGGGGTAAGTTTCTCATGGCAATTTTTGATGTTGTACTTCAACGTAAAGCTAAAGTTAGGGAATACCCATGGATACACAATTTAGAACTGCAAAGTGTGGGTTATTCTTCTACCTATTCCTTTACCTTAATTTGAACCAAAAGTAATAAGATAAAGCAATCATCCTCCATAATATGTCCATTATATTAAAATTATCAGTAGACTTACTATATGCTATCAGTCTTTTATAGTATCTGTCTTTATATATTTTCAAATTGCTTGCAATACAAACTAAGGTATTTGTATGAGTTATGTTCATAAATGTGGCTACTGTAGTAAATCTCATTGTCTTATTTGTTTTTAAACAAGTATTAAGAAGCAGAATAAAAGAATGTCATTACAGTATATGTTTGGTTTTGTTCTGTTATTTTTTTGTAGAGCGGCATGTTGGTATAGTCGGCCAGAATGTTAAGAAGCAGTGGTGTTCAGCTTCAGGATGAATAGTAACATTGAGAGAGTGGATAGCAACATAAGAATACAGTGTGCTGGTAAGTGGAGAAATATTAAATTTTTTCATCCATGTATTCATCCAATTATGATGTAGGCTACTAAAGTGTTAACTTATAGCCATACTGTAGTTAATAATCTCAATTTTGTTTTCATAAATGTTATTTATTATAAAATCATTGTTTAAAATATTCTTTTCTTTTTGCATTCTCTTCACCATATACTGTAGGGCAATAAAATAATGCTTTAAAATCATCTACCAATCTTCAATTAAAAATACATGGTTCTTATCTTCTCAATTTTACAGTTTTTTTTAGTTTGTCTAGTTTATTATTAAAACACCTTGACTGGCAGCACAAACCTAGTTGCATCAAATTTGACATATGTACAGAATTACAATAGAAAACACGTACGCAACAATGATCGGAGACAGTTAAAACACAAAATATAAATCATGTTTACCCTGTATCATGAAACCTCAATCTAATAGCATAGTATGTGCAAATCTGATAGTGTTATAAATTATCATATACAATATTGTGAGGCATTCCAATATGTTTTAGGTTTACAAGGTACACTTGAAAATGATAATGTAGCCTGTAATGCAAGTAATAAATTAGGTTTAATATTTCCTAATACTAACACTATTGACAGTTTGCAAAATTGGTCTATAATATTGTTAAGAAGTGTTTGCTATACATAGGCTACACCCATTGCTTAACAATA